TGTACATCTATCAAAATATAACATTAGTTATGTCATTATCAGGTATGAATTTTGAAAGCTGATTTTATTAAGGACCTTATAAAAGAGACCTGAGATACACCCTCAGTCTTTCCAACACAGAGGACACAGCAAGAAGGTGTCAGCCTATTAACCAGGAAGAGCACCATCACCAGTCACCAAGCCTGCTATCGTCTTGATCTTGGACTTCACATTGTCTACAACTGTGATAAATGCATCTTTAATGTGTATAAGCTATGCCATCTTTAGTATTTTATTATAATAGCCCGAGCAGGCTCAGACAGAAGTGAAACTTTATATTTAATAGGTGGGTGTCTGTGTGTGTATGTGTAGTCCAGTAGTTCACAACTTTACATGCACACACAAAACCTAGAGACGTTTTATAAATCATTTATACCCTGAATCATGTTAAAATCTTATTTAATTACTTTGAGAATGATGCATGGAAATTAGTGTAATCAAAGAGATATTTGTACTTCTGCATTTATTATAGCGCTATGCACAAAGAACAAAGAATAAGACAGACATCCACTGATGAGTGGATAAAGAAAATGGCACACACACACATACACACGCACATTACACATACACACACATACATACCCATACACACATATACACACATACTCAGATACATATATACATACTCATACACACATACACACAGATACATGCATACACACAAATAAACACAAATACACACACATACTTACACATACATACAACATAAACATACACATGGGAATACTAGTCTGTCAGAAAAGAATAAAACCGTATTATTTTTACCAGCATAATTGGAACTTGAGGATACTATGTTAAGTGAAATAAGCCAGGCACAGAGACAAATATCACATTTTCACTCATATTTGAAAACTAATGAGTGTGAACTCATGAAACTAGAGACTCAAATAGGGGTGACAGAGGCTAGGAGATAAAGAAAGGAGCAGATAGAGAATGATTAAGTAAATAGGGAGGCAATTAGAGGAATAACTTGTAATGTTCTACAGCACAGCAGAGTAGCTATAGTTGACAACATATAATGGTTGAGTTGATGGATATACCAATTACCTGGAAGAGCTATCACACTGTACCTCATAAATATGCATAAACATGCATATCAGTTAAAAAAGAAGGGAAACAAAAATTAGGGTTCCCCAAGTCATCCTAATGTTTAGCTAGATTTGAAAAAAGTTTAGTTTAGATATTACCCTGTCCTCATCCACACAGACCAACAGTGTTGGAGTCATCATTCTGAGTCTTTTCCAGATCATAGCTCTCTACCAGCTACTGCAGGAGCGAGGCCCTCTCTGACCTGATGCCACATGGAGCTCCAGAAAGACTCTGCAGTCATCTATGTGCTGATGATTCCCTTACCCAAATAGGGGACTGTTTTGGTCCTTGAGACCATAGCATATACTATTTGAAAGATTTATTTTTATTTTTACTTATGTCTGTGTGTGTATATCCCAAGTATGTGTGGACGCCTATGAAGCTGAGGTTACAGGTAGTTACCAGCCACTCCACATAGGTTCTGGGAACTCTACTCAGGTCTTCTGGAAGAGCAGCAAGCACTACTAGTCTCTGAGCCATTTCTCAAGCCCCAGCAGTCATTATTTCATAAGATAGAGATCCTGTTGGGCCTGTCTGAGCTTTATAAAGGCCAGGACACTTTCAGGAAGCTTTCTTTTTTTAAAAAAAAAAAAAATGTATTGCCTGCATGTTGTGGAGGACAGAAGAGGCTGTTGGATCCCCTGGAACTGGAGTTTCAGACAGTTGTTAGCTGTCATGTGGGTCCTGGGATTCGTACCTGGGTCTTCTGCAAGAACAATGAGTGTTCTTAACACTGAGCCATCTCCCCAGTCCCTCAGGAAGCTTTCTATTAGGACCTGATCTTTTGATATTGTGGACTACATCTAAAGCTATCGTAGAGTCCTTACATACGAAAACTGCTTTGTTGTTGTTTTGTTCTGTTTGTGGTCCTCTCAGGGTCTTAAACCTTGGGCCTTGTAAAAGTTAAGTAGGTTTTCTGCCAAGAATATATCTCCACTAAGTTGCCAAAGCCGCCTTTATATTCACTCTGTAACACAGGGTAGCCTTGAACTTGCAACCCTCCTGCCTCAGACTCGAGTATCCATGCTTGTGGGTCAGCACTTCCAGCTTGAAGCTTGGATTTTGTTTTCAGTCTCCCTGATGCTTGGGTGATTTTAGGGATATAAGGATGTGTTTACTTTTTTTCTAATTTTCTACCCAATGCCTCTGAATTCTTTATGTAGTTTCAAATTCGGGTTTTCCAATATCATCAATAATAATAACAAAGCTATTCGTGACAGAAACTTATAAATGAATTAAAATTCAGTGCTTTGTATGATAATTTGATTAGCTAGAAAGGAAAATATGCTCCTTTTCAATTAATCATGATTACTTACATATGTAATTGCATTGGTCAAATTCTTTGCATGACTAGGCACTTACCTGTTTAAAAATCAAATGAGTGCATAGAGGGATGGCCATACATGCCTAATAATTCCATACAAACTTCAGAAATAATCTCCTAAAATTCAGCAGTTTGTATGTCTACAGAGATGCCTAACACCATGAAGAAGCTATCCATTTCAATGTAAACTAAAGTGGCATTTAATTTTTTAAATTAATTCATCTATGTGCAGGTATGGTGTGTGCGCATGAGTGTGTGGTGCCTGTGTGAAGGCCAGAGCAGGACCTTGGATGTCACCTTCTATTTCTCTCCATCTTATCGTCTTGAGACAGGGTCTCCCTAAATGGGAAGCTTGTCATTTTGAGCTAGGCTGGCTGGCCATGGAAATCTTAGGAACCACCTTTCTCCTACTCCTGAGTGCTAGGGTTAGAGAGCGGCATGAGGAGCCATGCCCAGATTTTTATGTGGGTGCTGGGGATTTGAACTCAGGTTCTCCTTCTTTCAGAGTAAGCACTCTTACCCATTGAGCCATCCATTTCACAGTGCTAAAAATTTGATTATGGAAGGAAATCAACATTTCATTATCTAACCATTAGTCAAACAATGACAATGATTTCAATCATCCTTTAAGTTCAAAGACCCAATTAAGCTTGTATAAAAATAGAAGTCATGAGAAATATCACCAACAAAAACACAAGATCAGGGAAAAGAACAATCAGTAAACAACTTAGTTCTCTCTTGTGGCCTTATTCAAATTTTTGCTGAGATCATTAGTCAATATTTATGGGGGACTCACTATTAGCCAGGTACTACAAAGGTCCTGGAGACAAGAAAGTGAAGGAATGCACTCTCTGTTTTCGAGGAGCTTAAATGAGAGAGATAAATATGCAAATCTGTAGTAAAACAACTGCTTTAATGGGAGCCTACTGCCCCCAGGGAAATTCCATGCTGGACTGGTCCTCTCAAACCCGTACATTTGTTTTTGAAAGCATTCTTTATAAGGAGGCTTTCTGTCTCAAAGAGAATTTGCACTTTTGATTGACTGAGTTCCTTGTAGTCAGAGTGCAGGGAGATGAATCACCTTGAATTTAAGAACAACTGTTGCATTTAAGATGGTTAGGGTGTGATTCACTTTAGCTTTAGCAACATGATTTGGAAGACTGGAGATGTTTTTGTGCAAAAGCAAACGAGCCCTTGAATCAGTTGGTCGATCTTCACAGGAGACATGTGTAACCCACTAAAGACATGAGCCGCAGTCCTGCTTTCCAGGCTGCTGGTGGGATTGCTAGACATTGTTCTATACAGTCTGCCTAGTCTATGCATCTCATCCTATCCCATCTACAATTTCTTGCTCAAGCCTGAAAGTCATTATCACCCGAAGAGGCCTCTGTGCCCATGAGAAACAAGGAAAGATTTAAGATTCTTTACAAAGATGGATTAAGCCTGAGTCCAAAGTTGAAATGCTTCCTATCAGTTGGTTTCCAGATTTTTGAAACAGGATACTATGTCTTTTAGTCAAAATAAATTAAGAATGTTAACTAACTACAATGTTAGAAAACTAGTATGTGGGTATATTAAAGATAAGAATGAAAATTTGGGATGAAAGAAATACCATTTTTCATTGTAGCTCAGTAGTATACTCTGTCTGAAGGAGGTAAGTCTGGGATTTACTTTCATAACTCAGTGTAAGACCTTCACATGTCCTTCCTGAAATTGTAGTTCATAGCTCATAGTATGGAGTTCACTGCAGCATCTTGGAGCTGCTTGGGTTTGATGCTCACCCCAGCTGTAGAATCTCTCATTGCAGTTTCCCACTGGAGTGTAAAACTCTATCAAAAGTCAAGAAATAACCTTGACTTCCAAAAGAGCACAACTACTATTCATTATTGTTTTTAAAGAGATTCAATAACAATTCTCAAAGTATAATATTTGTTTAGACCTTCATGGATTTTTGCTTTAATAATTAAATATGTGAACTTGGAATGGAATTGTAATGAAGAATGATACCAAGTAAATGTAAGATGCTAATTCCCTAATGTATGTAATGATACATTTCAGCATTTAACAGGACAAGGCATGGACAAATATATACATTTAACACTTTGCATTCATGTATAAGCGATTCTCATGTATGATTACAGAGAGGGCCATATTCATGTGCTTCATTCGCTGTTGTAAATGCCTAATGCTGCAGGTTTAAAGACTTACCTTAGCTACTAGGGTGCAGCTATATGGAAGGAAGTCAGCTGTTGTTTACCTTAGCGTCACTCTGAAACTTATTTAACAAGTGAATACTTCAAATGCTATAATTATGAAATGAATAGCCTAAAATGAGAGACCTTTAACTCTAACACATAACTGAATATAGAGTTTTTATAATATGGACTGTGAGGTAAAATCTAGCTAGGCACAGCATTAAAATTTATATTGTGTTTCCTTCATGTTACTGCTAGCCATATCATGAAATACTAATTATATCAATTATTCTTTCCATTTTATAAACATCATAAAATATAAATTAAAAATTTATTTTACCAGTATGACAGACCTATCTCATTAAAGCCACTGTAGCCCAGCTCTTGCCTGCTAAGCCCCAGATCTTCCAGGTCCATGCATTTAAATCCAGGGGGGCACTGGTAGCCTTCTTCGAGCTCTGGTGAGCAGTGTGTATCTGGGATAGCTAAGCTATTCCAGGTTACATTCCTGTGGACAGCACAAGAAAGTGTTAGAAAATTTGACAGTTGTTAAGTATTGATTGGAATGAATAATTAATCGCTCTTCATTGGTAGCTACTGGGCATAGACACAGACTAAGATTTGTAATTCATGAATGATATTCACAACAGCATTACTGCATTAAGCATTCTCAAATGATACTTGGTTCTTTCCTATAATAGCTCCTTAGAAGAATACCATATTATTTTTGTCATTAGGAAGATGCCAATAATGAATGAAAAGATTTTCCTGGATACTTGAAGGACTGTTAACCTGTATGGAAAGCTGTGTGGTTCAAAAAAGTCCCTGCATTATTAGGCACAAATTTTACTTCTCTGTTTATAATAAACATTAAGTGATAAAGGTCATTTTTCTTCTGTATGTTGCAAATCCAAATCGTATAAATGATACATGGCCTTCTGCTTTATTGCTAGATGTGCAGTTCAGAAAGAGAACCAAACAAAAGAGAAAATGAAGGAACTAAATGTATCTGTTTTGGAAAGAGAGAAATTAGGAGGTGATCTGCTGATTATTCCAAGAACACTAAGGTCTTTTAGGGGGATAGTGACAATTGTTTCTCCATCTTAAGAAACTGCTAAAAATTAAGCTGTAGATGGACTTGCATATGTGATAGATTTCTTAAAAAAAAAAAAAAAAACCCCAAAAGCATTAAAGCTGCATTTAGGTGGGGTGTTGTGGCACAGGCCTTTAACCCGAGCACTCAGAAGGCAGAGGCAAGAGGATCTCTGTGAGATCTAGGGCAGCCTTGTCTACATAGCAAGTTCCAGGTCAGCTGGGAACACAAGGAGACCCTGTCTCAAAACAAAATAAAACAAGGAGATTTATTAAGGAGAATTACCTTAGCCAACAATTTAAATAAAATTGATTCATAATAAACAAAGGACCATCAATTAGAAGAAATCAAGAGAGGCACTGAACATAAGAAAGCCAACACACACACAATGTAACACACATGTAATATAACTCACACACACAATGTAACCGCACACACATACACTGTAACACATACACATGATGTAACCACACACAGACACAATGTAACACACACACACACACACACACACACACACAAGATGTAACACATACATTGTAACACACACGCACATGATGTAACACACATACACACAGGATATAACCACACATAAAACAGACACTTTAGAAAATAGTAATCAAATCTCAACTAGAAAACACATCTAAAAGAAATGGTAGTGAATTCAAAGAAATTTTCTGTTTCAAGTAGATTGAGACATCTGAGAAATAGTGCCAAACACCTTTCTCCACTCCTGTGTCCTCATTTCAAGCCTCTTTAGCCC